TACATACATACATACATGTATATGTTATGTATGTATATGTATAAACATCTATATATTTGTATATGCAGTTCCGTTGTTGACGATATGGGAGACAGAGTCAGAAGTGCTTTTGCGCGTGGGGTGTTTCGGGGTCTGGAAGCTTAACCTCGGAGTATGGCCGCCGCAGTACATCTAACACATGCTTCCGCCGTGTTTTCAGCTCAGAAGACCCAAAGAAGCAACGTGATCTCCAAAAAGGCCACTCTAGATTGGGTGCAGGACTCAAAGCTGCATCCCTCCCCGCCGCAAAGAGAGAACCCCAGCCCAAAACCTAAAACCCGAAATCCTAAACCNNAAACCCAAAACCCAAAGCCCGAAACCCTAAACCGATTCTCTATGGTGTTCCTAGCATCCTCAAGTCAGATTGGTTTCCCCCAACTCCTCATCTCTCCATCCCCTAAGCCCCAAAACGCCTAAACCCCCTTATGACCATCGCCATGGCACGCAGCCGGGGCATGCTCCGTCTTTGCTGCCTGGGCCTGGGACTCTGGAGCTTCCTGGCCTGGGATGCCGACTTCCTCGTCTCTCGGCCGGCGTTTCCGGGAGCTGCCGAAGGCGGCCTTTCTAGGGCCTCAGGGGCCCCTCGAAGGGCATTTCCCCTGGAGAAGCTGCTCGGCCTTCCTTCGTCAGGGAGCCGGGGGGCTTGGCACCTAGGGCTGCTGGTGGGGCCGCTCTATTTGTAATTGCTCATAGCCTCAATGAAGGTACTTATAGTATGACTTACGAAGTCCCGTGATCCGCCAAGTAGGGCGTTCTTCCTCAAGAAAGAAGCTTTAACAAGTTGTGTGTAGTGTAGGTAATCATTCTCATCCGGATTATCATTCTCATCCGGATTTATGACTGCTACCCCTCGTCGCCGCAGTTCTCCTACTACCATTCTGCCACTCCTAATTCCTCCTCCAACTCATCCGGCTCCTGCTCAGTACTTTTACTCCGAGTCCTAGGGCCCTGGCTGTTCCCATCCCACCACCACCACCGCCACCATTTTTATTATAGGGTTTAGGGTTTAGGGTTTAGGGTTTAGGACGACGACTACTACCACAACCACTACCACCACCACTCGACAGCGCCGAGGGACATTCATGGTGCCACGAACAGGTTCCATCATAGTTGTAGGAGGTGCCGTGTGCTGCGACCTGATCTATTCGTCGGACAGCATTGGCACACACCAAGACAGCAATCTACATCTTAAACTTAACATTGCAGCATGAAGGGTTGAGGGCTGGGGTGTTTTTAGTGCCAAGGGCTACAGAGATGGGGCCCAGGGGCTTCCCAGCACTGCCGAGGCTGGTTTCGGCGAAGAAGCGGAAGCGACTTGCATCGCTGGGTACATCCAGTGTGCTGAGCTCCTTAGTGGAGCTGGTACCCTTTATCCTTGTTTCGGTGTATTACAACCCCTATGTAACCTTAAAGGTAAACCTTTGGTTCCTCTAGAGTGCTGGACAAGTAAGGCTACTTGCTTCTCAAGTTCCTGAAGCATTCCATCATCAACGCAGTGGCCTGGTATCTAACGGCGAAGAGGCTCCGGAGCTCTTCTGGGTTGCTGCTAAGGAACTTAATTCAAGATGCCATAATGGGGATATATCATAAATAGTAGGGTTTCCATAGTATAGTATCTTGATTTACTGTCAGTTCCTTCACCGCAACCCAGTATTGCGGGAATCGGCGGTTTCGAACTTCGGACACGTACCATCCTTAGGAAAAGCACCCAAGGTCCTTGAGCCTGAAAAAAGCCCCAGAGAGGCAGAAATCACGTTCAAGCCTCATGACAGTGTTTAATAGGTGTAGATTGCTGATAGTGTTCAGTACAGTTGTCGTGGTCGTCGTCGTCGTAGAGCAAGCACAGCAGCTCACGCCTTCCCCGCGAAAGGTTGGGCGTGTCGCCCTTGCAGAAGTGGCCAACCTTCTTGGCCACCTATGCAGCCGTCTATGTCGCCAGCACGCCGCTGCAGCCCGCGAAGCGGGCTGTCCAAATTTCGATTTCTCTGTATGCCCAAGCTACTCCCAAGCCTGATGTTTTAACCCCTAAAGCATACGATGATCCCCAAGTCAGGGATCTCGAGACAGAGTTACAAGACAGACAGCATGACTTACTCAGGACACCAAATCCTAAACATGTCACCCCGAAAGATCCCTAAACCCTAAACCCTACACCCCAAACTTTCAACCTCAAGACGTGAACCCGCCTTCAACTCTTAAGAAGGGTGACCGGGGAACCTGAAAACGGGTGGGCTCTCGAGGTCCCCAAAAAGCCCGGCCACCCTTCATCAACAATGGACCCAAAAGGACCCTAAGGTAAGAGAGCTACCCAAATCGGACTTTCCGAAAATTAGGTGTACCCTATTTTGGGGTCCTTATAATAAGGATCCTACTATTAAGGGTACTATATTATTAGGGTCCCCTATTTTCGGAAACCCCCAAATGGAGGTGGGTCTAAACTTTACACCCTAAACCCTAAACCCTAGACCCGAAACCCCTAAAATCAGGTGGGCCGTAATCGTGGCGATGAGCCCCGTCTTGGATCGCACGATGGAGAAGATTTCTGCCCGAATGGGCTGGCGAGCCGGCGATTTTAGGGTTCAGGTCTCAGGGTTTGAGGGTTTAGGGTTTAGACTAGGGTTTAGGGTTTAGGGTTCAGGGGTTTTAGGTTTAGTCTTGCAGGGTTTAGGGTTTAGACTACGGTTTAGGGTTCAGGGTTTAGGGTTTAGGGGGTCTTTCAGGTGTGGTTTAATCGGTCTTATATGCGCATGTGCACGGTTTTTGACCTCTTTACCTGCGCAGTCACGGGCGAGTCATCAGGGTTTGACACTGGTTTGTAAGGGGTTTTCTGCAGGGGCGTTGGGTTTTTCGGAGGCGGTTTTGCCTTCAGGCTTTGGGTTTGGGGGCTGTATGGCTTGCGGGGTTTGGGTTCGCTGTTCCAAAAAGTTTTGCTGCATGAGTTTCAGAATTCCCCAAGCAGAGTTAAAGCATTCTTCTCCCCACAGAGCGTCGCAGGGTTTGCAATGCAGTGCTTGTCTTGCGGGTGTTATGGGCTAAACCCTTTGCTTAGATTTAACGTGTTCATGCCCACTGTCCCGGACGCAATTCTTCACGTCTGTTTGGGTGGCTGTACGCGGTTGTCTGTGTGCACCTGTACGTTCGTGTGCAAGTAGATCATGCGTGTGTATACATATATATATGTGTGTATATATACATATACACACACATGTAGTTAGTTGTCTACGCACACACAGACAAACATATACAGTATGTATGTATGTATGTATGTATGTATGTATGTATGTATGTATGTATATATAAACAATATCAGTATTGGCAAACACATGAGAGAGTTTGTCTGCAACCGCGCATGTTCCTAAACCTGAAACTCTGGACCCCAAAGCCTTCAAACCCCTAAACCCGGAAGCCCCTAAGCCCCTAAACCCTAAACCCCTAAACCCCTAAACTCCTAAACTCCTAAACTCCTAAACCCGAACCCTAACCTCAGGTCCAAACAAACTACAGCAGGGGCGATCCTGCTCGGCATCTCTGCACTGGGCGCCAGCGTTTGGATGCTGGGTGTCCTGGTCGCCGGAAGCCTGGCGCGAGTGAGCATCTGGTAATACAGGCTCCTCAATACTTAGCAATACCATTGTGGGGGGTTCCTT